GTGGTAGAAGAAAAAGGGATGCGGTGACTCAGCGGCTAAGATGCTGAGCTTGTCAATTAGAAAGGTCGGCCGTTCGGCGGTTCAAATCCCTAGTGTTGCATAACAGAGTGAGCTCCCATTACTTGTCCCAGCTTTGCCAACCTAGCAGTTCGAAAGCACGTAAAAATGCAAGTAGAAAAATAGGGACCACCTTTGGTGGGAAGGTAACAGTGTTCCGTGCACCTTTGGCGTTTAGTCATGCCGGCCACATGACCACGGAGACGTCTTGGGACAGCACTGGCTCTTCTGCTTGGAAATGGAGATGAGCACTGCCCCCTAGAGTCGGGAACGACTAGCACATATGTGTGAGGAGAACCTTTACCTTACTATTATTTTTACCTTACCTTACCTACCACATTATCTTTATTGTGTTTATTGTGCCAAAGTTGGAAATGTGAGTACTTTCCTCTCGGTTGATTTACAGAGCAAATTGTAGGTTTGTGTATTGTAAAGGAAATCTGTCTTGGTTGGAAGGCAGCCCAGCAAGAAAATAATATGCATACAGAATGCTGACTGAGGAAATAATACAGGAAATAATAATCTATCAAGTAGATAGGTGGATGAAAAATGCCTTTAAAATGATAGCCATCTTCCACATTTTGACAACAAAGCTTTTTGCTAGGCAGTCCAGGAAAATGGATTGAAGGTTTAACAACTGTGGTGCTCCACAGGAGGCGATTGTATACCATGTGTAGAACATTTTTAGCCATTTTCTACCGTTGTAACTTTGCATAAATTTTATAGATTTTTCCAGTTGCAACCATTCTTAAGGTACAGAAAACTTTTTAAATTTTTTTATTATTTGCAAAAATAAAAATGAAGGATTTATATCAATATTGGTCACACATAGGCTGTTTAGTTAGTACTATACATTTGTTCATTTCAGCATTATGTAATTTATCAGTTTAGATTAGTTAGTCTGACTTTATACGACAATTAAAAAATAAAAGGTTACAGATACGAAATAATATAAACACATCAAATTTCTAAAAAGATTTGTGGCTATTAAAAGCCGTACAGGTAATCCTCGACTTAACAACCACGACTGAGTCCCAAATTTCTGTTGTTAAGTGAGACATTTGTTAAGTGAGATTTGCCCTATTTTACGACCTTTCTTGCCACAGTTGTTAAGTGAATCAGTGCAGCTGATATGTTAGTAACAAGGTTGTTAAGTGAATTGGGCTCCCCGTTGAGTTTGCTTATCAGAAGGTTGCAAAGGGAGAGCACATGACCTTGGGATGCAGCAATGGTTGTAAGTACAAGTCAATTGCCAAGCAACTGAATTTTGATCTTGTGTTCATGGGGATACCATAAAGGCCATTGGTGTGAAAAATGGTCATAAGTCACTTTTTTCAGTTCTGTTGTAACTTTGAATGGTCATCAAATGAACTGTTGGAAGTTGAGGACTATCTGTATTTAGTTGCTTTTCTCACAGTATTCTTTAGACCAGTGGTCTCCAATCTTGGCAACTTTAAGACCTGTGGACTTCAACTCCCAGAGTTCCTCAGCCAGCAAGCTGGTTGAGGAACTCTGGGAGTTGAAGTCCACAGGTCTTAAAGTTGCCAAGGTTGGAGACCACTGCTTTAGACGATTTGAATAATTTTTTGTCCTCTTTCACCATCATCCAGGTGTTGATCGACTGGATAAACGATGTCCTGGTTGAAGAAAGGATAATCGTCAAACAGCTTGAAGAAGATGTTTATGATGGGCAGGTGCTACAGAAATTGCTAGGTGAGGTGTTATGTGTGAAAAAGGTGGGTGGTCTGGATTAGGGAAACAGACTTAAATTTTGACTTAATTACATTATATTGCCAAAGGTATTCGCCCACCCATCCAAATAATCAGAATCAGGTGTTCCAATCACTTCCATGGCCACAGGTGTATAAAATCAAGTACCTAGGCATGAGACTGTTTTTACAAACGTTGGTGAAAGGATGGGTCGCTCTCAGAAGGTCAGTGAATTCCAGCGTGGAACTGTGATAGGATGCCACCTGTGCAACAAATCCAGTAGTGGAATTTCCTCGCCCCTAAATATTCCACAGTCCACTGTCAGCTGTATTATAAGAACATGGAAGTGTTTGGGAACAACAGTCTCATGC